GCCTGGCCAGACGCTCCTCTCCATCACGTGCATCGGAGGGAAGTAAACACTCAGGGCCATGCTTGCTTGTTGATGTGCTTCACAGTGAGGCTTGCTTGAGCTGAGCGCTGTTCTCTCGTCTGCCGATGTTCTGCCAGTGCAGCTACAGCAGCTGCTTTTATAGCCCTGGCAGTGCTGACGAGCAGATTCCACGGGCAGCCAGAAGCGTCCAGATTTAGCTTCTCACAGGGACTTTACTCACCCCCAAAAATAGCAGTGACTCATGCCTGAGCTTGTGTCATGTATATGCCGTGCATTCCATCAGTCGTAGTGACAAATGGGGCCAAAATAGATTAAGTTATCAATTAGAGTTAGAGTTTATTACCTTAAATGGCTACACCGTACATGAATTACAGAAACATGGTCTTTACAATAGGGTTGACATCATTTCCACACGTTAAACATAGACATTTCTCATTCAGCCTAGTGTGCAGTGATAATGTTCAACACAATACCACGAGATCTCAGTAAAAGTTTGCCACTCGAATATGTTCCTGATTGGGTCACACCCGGACAAGTGGCAACCATACTTAGGCATTATAATTATAGTCCTTTGTTTTCGGGCCAATTACAAGCAATCCATGTATATATACCGTAATTAGCATCATGAAAATGCTCTCCATCCATATATAAAGATAATATAGCTCTTAATTAACATCCATCCATCCAGCTGTAAACAAAATAAATTCAGACAGTGTACCTTCTATATCTAAATAAAGATTCTGATTCATATACTGAATACAGCACATTAGGAAAATACAGGAGCCAAAATGACAACCATGCACATCTGTGCACATGCCAGTTGTGCCACTGAAAAATGTATCATTCTTTTGTGTAGCTTTGTTGAATGCCATTCTGAGATGTTTTCATTCAAAATTATATCAGGAGTGGAATGATTCCAGTTCATTACATTGGTGGCCATTTGGCACAAATATAGTCAAGTCCATGTCTTGAACTACGTTTAAAAATGGAGAGAAAAAAACCCAGCAATGTTTCCAATCTGGACACTGAAAATACACTTTTTTTATGTAATATTGAGGTGAAAATAACAATTATTACCGTAAGTAGAGTTTAACACCCCGATCCTTCGCCAAGTAAAGGGACATGCCGCTTTATAGTATAACATCAATGTTTTTTGCAAACTGATATTTTCAATACTAGAGTGTATGAAAGTTGTATCTTGCCTGCTCGTTTAGAATGGAAATAGAATTCTTATTTTAGAGAAGACGTCACAAAGCAGAGCCCCAGGCTTGAGTCACTGCTATTTTCTGTGGGTGAGGGATGCCCCTGGGAGCAGCTGCGTCATTCTGGACGCTTCTGGCTGCCCCTGGCATCTGCTCGTAGCTACTGCCAGGGCTATAAAAGCAGCTCCTGTAGCTGCAATGGCAGAACATCGCCAGACGAGAGACCAACAACGCTCACAGCTGAAGCGAGCCTCACTGTGAAGCGCATCAACAAACAAGAATGGCCCTGAGTGTTTACTTCCCTGCGATGCACATGATGGAGAGGAGCATCTGGCCAGGCTGGCCGATCTGGAACCCCCGCGGTGAAAGTCTCTTCCAGCAGCTGCAGCGAGACATGAGGAGCGAGATCGAGAGGATGGAGAGAATCTTCCGTGGAGTCGATCAACTCAGCAGCCACACGCGGGCCCCGGGCAGCCTCAGAGACGCACTGCTGCAGCAGCCGGCCGTGAGCAGTGGGTTCCAGATTGAATCCCCACGGCAGCAGGCAGACGGGTTTGTCGTGTCCCTGGACGTGCAGGACTTCTCCACAAAGGACCTGGCCGTGAAGGTGTCTGGAGACAAGCTGGTGGTGGCCGGACGGCGCGAGGTGAAGAGCGGAGAAGTCAGCAGTGGCAGCTACAGCCACAGCTGCCAGGAGTTCCACAGGGAGACGCAGCTGCCCAGGGACGTGGACCCGCAGAGCGTGAGCTGCTGCTTGACTGAAGACGGGAAGCTGAAGTTCAAGGCTCAGCGCCGCGCCCTCCCTGCAGCGGCCGAGAGGGTGGTGGTCATTGAGCAGCCAGCGACAGCGACTCCTGGCACGGCCTCATCCCCAGTCGCCCATCTTCCCATCTACGCTGCCACCCTTGCATAGAAAGTGACTTTGAGAATCTGTTTCAATATGACCTTTTGTATTGCTATGTTCAATGTTTGGGAATGTTTCTTCAATGTATGTGTAGTGGCCTTATTGACGTCGGAGACTGTTCTTTGGAGGCAACACGTATTTATTACAGACACTTCAATTACAGTGGCTAATCTGATACTTGAAGAGGTAACGGCCTCTTCACCCATACTCTACAGCGGGAATGTTCCCCAAGCTATAGCCCACGCTAGCTCCCTGGTTCCCTCTATCCTGGTCCTCTCTCAGGCGGCTATCTGACCTGGCCCAGCTTCGGCGCAGGTCCCGATCACCAGCCACACGAGTCCGGCCCTCAGAAGGACATCGGGCCTCTCGGCTCTGGTGACGCACCCTGGCTTGCTTTACCCGGCCCTCAGGACAGCGGGCCAAAGGAGTTCCAGGGTCTGGCTAGTCGATCTTCTTTCTTCACTGGCTCTTCATCTTGCTTGAGTCGAACTGCCCTCTCAGCTCTCCGGGTCCCACCTTTTATACTGTCCCTCGCTGAGGGGTGGGGCTGGGAGGGATCACAGCATCCCCCACAGCCCCCCAGGGTGGTGGCCGTAGCGGACGTGTTTGTGGCCACCGCCCTACAACCACGTGTCACCCTGCCGTAACACCTCTACATATGCAACGATATGATCTCACATTCACCTCTTTAAAAGTATACATGCAAAACTGAATTAAAATGAAGATTGTTTTGAGTGTAATCTTAAATACACTTTATATTAATTTGATATACATATCAAACCAGTTTCAATAGTATTAGCATTGTACTAAACATTACTGTACTTTACATGAGCAACACATTCTAATAAACTGGTGCACTTTTTTCCCTTATGTTAACTTTTTCCTAAAAAATAACTTATTGTGAGATAACATGCGAAGCATACACTACAGTACTGTATATCAAATTGTTTTATACGGAACTTCGACCTCGTGGGGCCAGCGAGTTATGTTGATGCTGCATAGCAATTTTATGCAGTGATGTGATGGATTTTCATGAAATAAACATGTTTTAGTCACGGTTCTTCATATGGCTGATGTTGATGTAGAACTATAATTTTATATTATTGTGTCAGTCGCAGGCTGAGTGGCGCGTCCTCGTGTTTGTGAATCGGGCATTGAGTCCGTTACACGGTCCGTGGCTATGGTCTGGGAGACAACTTTCTGCACAACTGCCGGAGAGTTTTTTTTTATGTTTACAAATTGTACATCATCTTCAACGTCCGCATCTGCTGCTGCCATGGTGTGTGTGTGGAAGGGTGCTTAGGGTTGTGACCCAGAAATGTCGTGGAAGATCGAAGCCAGGAATATTGTACGTCGTCGGGGCTTTCACTCCATTTGGTTTTCCAAACTTTACCAGCAGGGCCCCAGCTGCATTGTTGACGGTTAAGCACAAACCCGTCACAAGATTTGCATTGTTGACGGTTAAGCTGCATTGTTGACGGTTAAGCACAAACCCGTCACAAGATTTGGCACGGTGGTTCATACCTTGTGATCTTAACCTCGGCTTGATTCCTGCTCACAGAAAACAGTAACGGAGACACTTAATCAATTTACGGGGATCTCCCAAATGGTGCGTCGGAAGTAAAACAAACACGAAAGTGTTCCTCTCGCTGAGGACATTGCCGCTTTTCTGAATTTCAATATCCCAAAATGTCAACAAAAACAACTCAGCACATCCAACAGCCTGCCCTTTGTACATGACGACATCATTGGATCACACCTTGCACCTCATTGTTCAAGCCAAATACTGTACAATGATTCAGTGCGTGGATGAATGTCGGCTTCAGCAATTGTCACCAGGAAACTAAACTATTTTTTTTTATTTTAACCAGGTAAGGCCCACTGAGCTATATAGCTCTTTATCAGAAGCGCCCTGGCCACACATGTTAGTCCAACGAAGTGGCTTATCATGTGGAAATCTATTGCAGCCAAATACTCTAAAACGAACGTTTATAAATGTAGAGGGAAAAATCCACGTGACCACGGGGAGAACATGTTAAATCTAAACATACAGATATTAGGGTTGGGATCGGACCCAACAACCTCCTGTATACCATACGAGGTAGTTAACGTCTCGCCACCCTGGAGCAACTTTAACTTCAGATTGATGTGCACGGTGTCAGTTATTGATTCGCCGTTGCGCAATGTATTTGGTTTTAATAATGGAGCATGCGTCTCGAGGTATGAATTTCATTTTTATATTCCCTGATGTAGCTCCTACAACGTAGAACATTTGCTGTGAATAATTTCACCATTAACATCTTATTCAAGGAGAAAACAAAATGATTAACTTAGTACGTCCTCCTCATTAAAAGCATCCTCACCTAGGCGATGCGAACACAATACAGGAGGGGAAAAAATAACAATAGGCTTTAGCCTTTCTGGCAATAAAACAGGCGCTCAGATGTTCGAACACCAAATATATACCGATTTCAAGGCATCAAGTATACATTAACCACACGCACTTGTGGAAAAAAACATGCAAACTGATCGGCCCACATCAGACAGCCTTCTTTATGGCATTGTCGCACCAGTGTTAGATCAGCGAACGCAAGAAGGCCAACAATACAAAGGCTATTATTATTTTCCCAATAAATTTGATACTGGAGAAAATGTCCCAAAGACACAGCACAGGGTTTTAGTGCGTAGCGCTCAATTTGCGGGAGAGAAAACGCTCACGACAATTTACAGGTAGAGCTCGCTTAGCAATACCCGATTCGTTATAGCGCTCTTTATTCTGCATAAAATTGTGTACATTTTTTATATGCTAGAAAAATTGTAAATCTAAAAATCTGTGACGAGTGACAGCACGTGGACAGCTCCGGGCAAGAGAATGGCAACCACCGCCCACCCCCATATTTGTTTACATTCGCTCAGCCAATGAGAGCGCCGAACGTTCTGAGCCAATCAGCACCCGTCCCACCGCGATTCGATTCGTGGTCACGATTATGTAAAAAAAATCGATTATCTTACGTTTTGACAAAACAGGTGTGTCTCGCTTAACGAGCGCGATATACGTTCCGCGAAAATTGCTCGTTACGCGAACATTCGTTAAACGATCATCGTTTTCCCATTGTCTCCAATGTTAAAAGCTGAGCTACGTTTCAGTCCCAAAAGCTTCCACTCTTGAACAACTTTTTTTTCAACGTGAGAAATACAAATTCTGATTTTGAAATAAAGTAATAAAACATCAAATGTAACACCACACACGAAGAACCACTGTGCCGCCAACAGCCTTAACAGACTGTTGGCGGCCTATGAAGGCAAGTGCTGTTAGCGAGCACCTATGAAGGCCGGTACGGCACACGAGGGGTGGGTGGCCAGCACCACGCCCGGCCGCCTTTGTCTCCCCAGTGGCGACGTTTACACACCGCCACCAGGTACCAATTTGAGGCCGAGTCGACCTAGGGGAAGCCCAGAACGGGTTCACATAATTGTCACTGGTGTTGGCCGTGAGCAGGAATGGAACTCGGGTCACCGGGTTCGTAGCACCGCGCGCTAACCGTTCCGCCACCGCTCCCCTCCCGCTGCTGTGCCACCAGGAGGCCCCGCTCCCCCACAACACGAAACAAGCGAGGCACGTGGTGCGGGACAGCTGGCAAACAAACAGCCTCTGTGCGCCCCCTACTGCCATGGGACGCATATTTTTATTGAATGATCTCCGCTCGGTAAACGAACATTTTTCCTCGTTTTGTGAACAAATTTGTCTCGATTCAAATTGTTTAACACGTAGGCTTTCGCGACCAATATCATCCATAATAGAGGTTTCTGGGTTATATCACGTAAATATTTAAATGTGGCGTTAAAACCCGCCACCACCCAACACAGCCAACTAGTAAGGGTTGGCACGTAAACAGAACGTGCCAATTCGTCGCTAGTACATCACACCGGTGTGTTGGAGAGCCAAGCCACAACATTTACAAATTGTTATTTATAGCGAATTCCCTTAGAAAGAATGCTCTTTAAAAGATACGCCCCTATACTGCCTTAGTTTTGTGTGCTTTCGTGAGCATTTTAGACCCATCGTTTCTGGACAAAGGTCTGCAAATGTTAGTGCTGGAGGCACTTGTGAGCACAGTACATAATATTGATGCTATGATACAACGTTTTTACTTATAAAGTAATTTTATTTATAACATAACTTTTCGCATCTGCATTATTATTAGCACTGTCACTGATACCCCAATAAAGCCCTCATATTGCTGATACGTAAGCAATAATGCCGTTGGGAACGCATCGCCATCGATCCAGTACAATGATTCGATTCGCGCTCACTTCTCCAGGAACGCATCCTCAGCGCTAAGCAAGATCTGCCTGTATATTCCCCGCAGAATAGTCATGCTCGCGACTTCATAGGCCCATTTGAAGCGAAGTTTGCAAAAGAGTTCCAAGATAACCAGAGATTATTCGGCGCTCTGGGCTGGATGACCTTTTCAATAATTTCTCTGAGCAGAGCCGACCACGTTTTCGTTCCAATGATGTTGTTGCAGATGCATTCCAGGTGAGAGAACTGCACTTAAGTTATATCACACGCAAATACGCGGGCAGTGCAATGTATATCATTAACACTCATGAATACATAGGCATGCGCAGGATCATCCCACTCCATGTGTTTTCTGGTCAACGATGCTCTGCTACAGTATGAACTAGTTCTTGCATTCAAGAATGAAAACCCTTTTTTTAATATACTTTGGAAGAATATAAACCATAAAAACCCCAGTGCTATTTGAATTTGTCAGCCTATACGTTCAGCTGCAAGCATCCAATCTGGAGCCTACATCAACACAATGGACAATAAAATCTGCTTGGCAACAGCAGAAAATGAGAGCATACGTGTAATTTACAGCAGATGTGCCACCCGCTTCGAGAAGACTGATGTCTGAAAGTCATTATCAAGTTATTTTCCACGGACATTTTACGAAAACAAACCTTTTTATGTGACAGCTTGTTCCATAGATGTATGCTTTATT